TGTCCAAGCGTTTTTTTTTCCTTTGCCGCTGGTGGCAGCACTGCCTGCTCCAAGGTCTCTGGCTGGGCTGCAGCTGATGCACTGGCACCGCTCCCTCCATCTTCCATGTGTACCATCTCCTCGATCAGCGCGGACTTTACCTCTCAGCATGCTCTGTCGTGAGATTTAATCAAGTGCGGTAATGGCGGTGACACGTCATGCAGCGTGGTGGGTTTCTTAATATCGCGATATTTTCTTCTTGCGGTTACCGCGACAGCCCTAGCATGCATGCAGTTTGTTGTTTTGCTGCTAATACAGTAGCAGGTGCAGCTGCATATGTTTGCAATAAAAATGTTATGTTGTAATGGAATTCATGCATTAGTTTTTGTTTGCTTTGAACCCAGAGCAGACGTCACACGCTAGATGACATCAACACTGCATACTTTAGTATTTGTTCATTTATCGCGAGTGATATCGATATTAAGCACTGTTATCGAATATCGCAGGTTTTCCTAATATCGTGCAGCCCTACTCCATTCCTAAATCCAATTGAGGAGTTTTTCTCTTCCAGGAGGCAGAAGGTATATGACAGGCATCCACATACCCAAATGACCCTGCTAGCAGCTATGGATGCAGCTTGTGATGACATCACAGCAGAGTCCTGCAGAGGGTGGATTCGACAGTCCAGAAGATACTTTCCCCCATGCATTGATAGAGCTGACATTCCCTGTGATGTTGATGAAAATATGTGGCCAGACAGACGGGAACGTTTAGATGTCAATGACTGATATGCAGCACTGTCTGTTCAGTTTATTTTTTTGTTTCATAACTACTGCAGTAAGGTTTACTGTCTAAGTGAGTTTATGTTTGCTGTAAAATGTTTGTTTTACTGTATTTCCCCAGTTGCACAATGCTGTGAACAGTTTCAATTAAATAGTATCAAGAGTGCATATGAAGTGCCTTGCATGCTGTCCAGACTTGACATGTCATTGGGAAGCACCTACTAAGAAATCCGTCACAATGAGAGCATGTTCAAACCATTTGATTTTGTGACCAAAGGTGCTGATGTAATGACTTGTAATTGTGACAGCCCTGACACTTTGATATAAGTACTTGCTTTTGATGAATATATTTTCTGTTTTGAGCAACTGACTTCTTTTTGATGAAGTGACTCACTTTTGCAAGTTATCCACCATGTTTTGCGGTTTGCACTAATTGTTTTGAGAAAAGCCTTAATAGTGGTGCAGAGATCAATTCTGTTGTGAGAAATGCACCAAAAGCAACTGAGAAAACCTGTAACAGGTAGCCAATGTAGGGAAGCTAAGACAGGAGAGATATGATCTCTCTTATAAATTCTCATCAGAACTCTAGCTGCACCATTTTGGACAAGCTGAAGACTTTTAACTACATTCTGTGGACTTCCTGAGAATAATGAATTACAGTAATCCAGTCTTGATGTAATAAATGCATGAACTAGTTTTCCAGCATCACTCCTAGAAAGGATGCTTCTAATCTTAGCAATATTCCGAAGGTGGAAAAAGGAAATCCTGCAAACCTGTTTAACCTGGGATTTGAATGACATGTCCTGGTCAAAGATAACACCAATGCTCTTTACTTTGTTCTCGGAGATTAATGTAATGCCATTCAGGTCAGGTGATTGGCTAAGCAATTTCCTCTTCTTAATTTCAGGTCCAAAGATGAGAACTTCAGTCTTGTCTTGATTTAAAAGCAAAAAGTTTAGAGTCATCCAATTTTTTATGCCCTCAAGACAAGCCTGTAATCTAACTAACCGATTAGGATAATCAGGGTTAATCGATTAATATAACTGAGTATCGTCAGCATAACAATGGAAGTTTATCCCATGCTGTCTAATGACTTTGCCAATTGGGAGCATATATATAGTAAAAAGAATTGGTCCAAGCACTGAACCCTGTGGTACTCCACAAGTAACCCTGGAGTATGAAGATGATTTGTCATGTACATTTACAAAATGAAATCTGTCAGACAGGTAGGATTTAAACCAGCCTAACAATGTTCCTTTGATCCCTACAACATGTTCAAGTCTTTCTAAAAGAACATTGTGATCAACAACACAAGATTCTTATCTGAGGCCATGAGAATATCATTTGTAACTCTCACTAACGCAGTTTCAGTGCTGTGATATTTTTTATAAAGCACAAGACTATTTTTCCAGGGCAAGTAGGACTCCTCCTGGTGCGTAGAGCGCCATGTTCTCTCCAATTTTCTAGAGTTTTGTTTTAAAGTTCGTTAATGAGAATTGAACCAGGAAGCCAACTTCATGTCCCTAATTACTTTCTTTTTTAAAGGGGCAACATCATCTAATGCCACACGTAAAGAGGAAGTACCATTATGAACTAGATCATCAATTTGTGAAGGGCTAGAACTGAAAATAGTGCCCTCTGCTACATGCCTCTGAGATGCTGAGGACAGTAAAGATGGAACAGTTGATTTAAAAGATGCAACAGCGTTGTCAGATAGAGACCGATTATAGTGAAATTTACTTTCATGTCTCGAGAACTCAGTTATAAAAAACTCAAAGGTTATCAGAAACCTGTTTTCAAAGGCATCTAGAGGGTGCATGTGGTGAGCAAAAGCTGGGATTGTACTTACAACCATACACAACATTACATGTTGGCAAATCATCTGCTTCATGTCAGTTCTTCACATAAAACAAATTGAGTGTTGATATTTCAGTTTCAGGCAGAATAGAAAGCGTCAGAACATGTCTCACAACATCTCAGTAGTTCTTAAATCTGCTGTCAGAGTCAGGCCAGACTGCTCTAAACTGTCACTTCAACACCTTTTTGACATGTTGCTGGCTGCCTTATTTTAATAGTCTGGATAATGTTAGAAACCATTTAAACAAATACCTCTTCATCCATGTCAGCTAAAGCAGGGGCGCTTCAAGCAGTGGCTGTTACTTTTGATGTCTAAATCACCTGACGTTAGATATTGGCTACGACTGAGATGTTAGAGGCACCTTGTGTAGTGAATTTCTTTTTCACTATTAGCTCTGTAGAGTGATGCTGTGAAGTCACTGTTTTGGTTTTAGTCTAGGAAAGTCAGCAAAAAAGACTGCTAATTACAATTCTGAAGATTGTTTTTAGATCCTGGCTTTGTTTTGAGGAGGGTAAGACTGGGATGTGCTTTGAAAATTCCCAAGGGCACACACAATACCCTTCACTTGGGCCACTTGGTGTAAACATAACTTCCCACGGTTACTGTGCAGACTCGTGAGCCTACAGTTGCCGTTCCTTTGGCTGACCTCCTACTTGCGCTCTGTGCCAAGCAGACTGTATTATGCAACAGACCTGCATTTCTCCTCCTAATATAGATTAAGGCCAGTCACAGCCCAGCCTGAATCAATTCACCAACCCTCCATGTGAACCTGCTCTTGGATAAATAAGGCTTTGTTGTTTGTTAAAAGAGAGGAATAAAGAGATCACAGAGAGTTGAGCCATTCAGTTTTCAGGCAACCAGCATGACAGGATTTGGTTCTGGAGTTTATTTAAACAGCCTAGAAGATTATCCTTAAACTTTTGAACTTACAGTACATTTCTCATGTAAACGGGGTGGATTTGTAATCCTCACACCCTACAGCCAGGGTTCAACCTCCTGCTATATGTTGAACCACAACAGGAAGCGAAAAGAACAATGATCCATCAGTGGCAGGAAAGGCGGAAGGGAAAGCACCACGTAAAGGGCAGAGGAGATGTAATTCAATTTGCCACAGCTCCAACTCATCATCCTCCAACAGCACAAAGGAACAAGAAGAATGTCGTATTTTGGTGGGGTGTCAAAGGGCGGGACCTAGATGACACATTATAATTCATCATTTACACCCGAGCCTCTGCACTAAGTAAACAATCTTTCTGTGGTAAAGAAACAATGAAATGATTCAACTGCTGACCACATTATGTTCTGCAAACCGCTTTGCAAAAGTAAATATAATTTCCCTAAAAAGCAACAAGTTCTTTATTTTTAGGATTGCAAAAGTACAAATTGTCTTTTTTTAAACTTTTCTTCAATGCTCTCACTGATGGAAGGAACCAATTAAGACTTCCCACAGTTGGATAAAATAGAACTAGGCAACGCTCTTGCACAGGGCGACAAAACAACATCTGGGGAGTTTCGTGGACCTGGACCCAACATGTTTTCTTCCCTGATCCACTTAGATCTGACACCACCTTCTTGCCCAGTGCTCCATCATGCTGGAGAAGACATTGTTCAGTCTGCTCATGGATGGTTGGAGGAGTCCCTCTGGGAGGATGTTTAGGTACCTTCTTTGTTCGTGGTTAACATAAACATGAACACAATTCTCAGTCGCCATGTTCTACGTATAAGTGCTACTGAAATGTCTTACATTTACAGTCGACTGTTAATGGAGTGTGTTGTAATTATTTGACACTAGTAACATTTTCTTTCTATTAGGTTTATTTTTTCTGACTTTGCTAAAGCTAAAAGTACGTTTTTGTAATCTCCCCTTACTGTACCAATAATGGTAAATGATCTGTATTTATAAAGCACATTCTAGCATTCTGCAACCCCTCAAGGTGCTTTACAACAAAGTTATTCACCCACACACATTCAAACACTGGTGGTGATGAGCTACAGTGTAGCCACAGCTGTGCTGGAACACAAAGAAAGAAATGAGGCTGCCAAGCGCAGGCACCACTAGTTCCTCCAACCACCACCAGCAAGCAATGCGGGTTAAATGTCACAACGACTGTGGCAAACAGGGCTCGAACCTGCAACCCTTCGGTTATGGGGTTGGCATTTTACTCCCCTGCCATTGTTCCTGAAAATACAGGATGGGCCATTTATATGGATACACCTGTACCTGTGCAGGCATTTCAATTCAATTCAATTCAAAGATACTTTATTAATCCCAGAGGGAAATTAGAGTTTCAGTACACACAATTCAGGGATCAGACATGCATGGGCAAGACACATGACAACAATTGGTGACTGTGGTCATTCGCAACCCTGAGTCGCGCTACCTTAATAGAGATAAGAGGGTTACATGAGGACTGGTTCAGGTGGAGGGAAAAAAAGGCACTTCAGAGTTACCCACCAGGAGGGCAGCTTTGCTCTGCAAAAAAAAAAAAAAACACCTCAGACAGATATGCAACAGACTTCAGACATCACACAACATAAGTGTCCACTAGGTGGGTTGGTGGGTTTGGGACTATCCACACTTCGTTGCTGCAGCCACTACAAGCAGCGCATGTCACCTCAGTCTGAACAGGGGGAGGAGCATTGAGGGTTGGAGGGTTGCAGTGACCCTGGAATGACTCAGCGGCCTTCCCGCAGAACCACCCAGGCTGGGAAAGGAGACAGAGTTGAGTTGCCATAGCGACGGCTAGAGCTGAGGAAAATAATCAAATAATCGATGCATCGGGATGCGGACATAAACGATTCTGCATCGTAGAAGAGTACACCATAATCGATTATAGTGGGCTCCAGCCCTAGAACTTCCTGTTGGTCTGCACTCACGTCGAGCTAAAGGCAGAGCAGATGTGAGCAGCTGCGGGAGAATCTGCATCAACACTATTTTGAAACTAATGGTCATCCCTGTGGCTTTTCATGATGATTATGTTAATGGCGGCACCAGCGCACCATCCAAATCTGTCAGAGTGAGCGTCCTCCATATTTACCAAGTGGTTCCGCCTTAATGTGGTACTGCAGGGCTGAGCGCTTGAGTTGTAACCTGAGACCGAACTGGAACCGAATCAGCCCGACCGGTTCTGTTGGATTATGTTAATTGAGCGGGTTGTCGTGCGGCGCGCTCCGCTCGCACAGCAACTGAGGGGGGGAAGGGACTGCTCACTCAAGAGGATCGGAGGACGCTCCTCCAAACCGATGCTCCAAACACACGTTATTATTTTCATAATTTAATTATTATTTCTCCTGGAAGCGCTCAGTCAGACTGCTTGTTGTAATGTAGGGAGATCCGGTCTTGGGGAGGGGGCGGGGTCAGTGACGGCGGCTGCAGCGTGATCGTCTGTCTCTTTTATTTAGGGACACGGAGAAGTTAAAAGGAGAGAGAAATAGAAGATAGAATTCTTGTTCCACTTTATTCTTTTGTTTCATGATGATAAACTGATGTTAAATTCAGCTTAAAGAGAAGCTGGGAGGAAGCTTTGGTTCATTTTAAGTTACAGGAGGTCTTGTCTCCTATCTGCTCCTCCAGAGACAGCATGGACATGAGGGTTACATGGTGAGGGTCACACAGGACAGGTTAGTGGAAAGGTTTGTAGTTAGCTGGTTAGTGAAGGAGATCTATCAGCTGGGTAATTTAATCCTAATCCAGCCCACAGCCTTCTGCTGGTGTTATTATCAGAAAGAATAAAACACACATCTTAAATATTATTGGAAGTGTAGAATTTGTTTTATGTTTTATTTTCTGCATCAAACAGAATTTGATTCATTCCCCAACATTTCAGAAACGAACCACTGGGTTCAAATAAAATAACAAACTAAGTCAAACATTTCATTTGGTGTTTTTTCTGACACCCTTCAACTGTGGCATAAATATCTGACTCTAGAGCTGCTCAGAGACATTAAATACTCATATATGAACCCATTATTGTATCTGATTAGTACATTATGTTGTGTCCTGTGGGTTTTCAGTACTTTTTTAGATTTTGTGAGATTTTGTAAAGCGTGTTTTCTCAGCCTGAGGCGTGGTGTTGAACGAGGAAACAGATTGTTTTGCTTTGTTAAATCTTCTTAAATGTTTAAATGTTTTGTCCTAACCTGTTGTGAATGGAGAACTTTTGAGGGATGGCAGGTTGTATCAATTACGTTTTTGATAAAAAAAAAAAGCAATTATCTGACATCTTCTATTTATCGATGAAAACAAATCAATATGAAATAATCGTGATGCATTGTGATACATCGGGATATCGAATCGAATTGAATCGTTGACCCAATAATCGTAATCGAATCGAAAGACAAGTGAAGATTCACACCTCTAGCGACGGCACTTTCCACAAATCTTCTGAGGGGGGAGTTTTCGTTGGAGCCTTGCAGACTCAAGGGCACCAGATTCCGATTAGAAATTGTTTTGGGGCCAGACAGAGATAATTTCCTCTCTGTCTTTGGTCCTCAACCTCTCAAAATCTCAATAATGGACATTAATCTATCCCAATCCATGCTGAATCATCCACTCTATCCTTAAGGGCATCCTTCTATTGTGGCAATGAATGAATCTCAGCCAAAGTCCCAAGCTTATGAATCATCTCGAAAATTATGTGAGTCTGTGAATTCACAGCATGGTGCAAACCATCTCTGAGCTCCGGGAGCAGGCCAGAATTCCTCGACAGCTCGTTAATTTTCCGGTAAGCCAGGAAGCCTCCAATGCCAATGAGCAGGAAACCTGACACCAACACCACGAATATCCACATGTCTTCAGAGCTCTCCACAGACAGCTGAGATAAACAAATCACGTTCCACTGTTTCCAGGAGTCCATGATGTGTCCAACTGGGTCTGCCCCCTCACATACGCTAATGCGCCACAAACAGAATGCTAATATCACCAACCATTCCCATTTTATTAAGGTGTATCCATATAAATGGCCTACCCTGTTGATCAGAGTATTGAATATCATTCTTAGTTTCGGTACGGTGTTAGAAAATGTAGTATCATGACAACCCAAGTCCCTGGTGGTTTACCTCGAGACTGGAATCTTCTCACCATGGAGCAGAAGAACCCACACCAGCCTGATATTCCTAAACAGATCTCTACTGGTGGGCTGGCATTAGATGACGGTCCTGGTGCTGCTGGACTCTTTTGGCACCCTAAGATATTTATCACAAATGAGGCAGAAGTCTATTGTTGATTGAGTTTTGCAAACTGTCACCATAAAAACGGATGCAGAAAATACTGTGGCAATAATTGTGTCCTTCTCAAAACATTTGCCCTCAGCTGCACTAGTTCATCTACATGTGGCTGTAAAGCAGGTTAATATTTGAGCTGCATCAGGAATTAGAATTTGATTCTCTTGCTGTCAACTCTCTTTAAAACGACCGATCAAGATGTCAGGTTGGTGGAGCTGGCTGGTCCAGAATTTCAAACAAATCGCTGACTGCAGATGAAACAATACTCATCCAAAGGATCTGGATTTTGAAAATCCATGCAAATTAGTTTAGCTAACTTATTCATTTCTAAAAGCAAATGTAATTTCATTTGGACACAGTACAGCAGAGGAAGTCATATTTCATGTTGCTGGAACCAGAGCCTGATCTTTGTTGTAAACAAAGCCCCTCCCAAATTAGATTGGCTTACAGTGTGTGTTCGATATAACATTACATATTTGTTCTATGGCTATATGACACTGGATCTTCAGTTTAGTTATCATTAAAACAGATGAAGGGAAAATACCTTCAATCTTCCATCAAACATCTCTGAGTTCTCTTTCTGTAAGTGTGCCCGAGACAGAGGCAGTAAAACCCTAGAACTTCCTGTTGGTCTGCACTCACGTCGAGCTAAAGGCAGAGCAGATGTGAGCAGCTGCGGGAGAATCTGCATCAACACTATTTTGAAACTAATGGTCATCCCTGTGGCTTTTTGTGAAAGCAAATAAAGTCAAGTGAAAACAGCAGTGCACACAGCAGGAAGGGAGATGGCTGAGTGATGACAGTGATGATAGACGCCATTCCTCAGGTTTTCAGAGACAGGGTCACAGCACACTTCAGTCCAGGGCTTCCAAGCTCACTGGACCACCTGGTGCTGACAAGTTATGAAGTAGCTGTCATGTTCTCATAAAATCCAGTGGGCAGATTTAATCTGACAGTAGCTTAGCTCAGGTTTGATCTCCCTGGCTGCTATTAAATCATTTTATGGAAGCTTTCATTCTTACAAAGGAATGTAAATGTTTTACAGAACCTCTTGGATTCCTGTGTGTTAACAGATTTAAGTCAACAAGATCTGATTGTGATCAACGATGGAAATATATTTTAGCAAAATAACTTCATTCTCTAACTAATCCCCACACATGTCACCACAGGATAATTGTTCCTTTGCTCCAAAGCTGATTAACAACTTGGAGTTTGGGAAATCCATTCCTGTCTGTCAGCTGCTGAGAGCCTGGATTTAACCACTTGTTTCTGGAGCTAGTGATCATTGGGCAAACAAGTGAGTCTGAATAATGGCTGCAAGGATTTATTCCATCATACAGAAGTCTCCATTTACTTGGATTTTACTCCCCTAAGTTGTGAAAGCAGGCCAACTGCAGGAGTGTTACGTCTGGGATGGCCAGCCTTCTCACTGCACCAAGAAACGGGCCTTTCAACACCAGCGGTATCACTTAATGCAAAACATGAACCTACCGTAAAAACAGCTAATTCCATAGCTCCACTAAGAAGTGAACAATGTCTGAATCAGTCAAAGCAGAACTAACTAAGTGTGTGTGAAAGGATAGACACACACAGATCACATTTGACACAGTTGAGCTAACAGCTAAAATGGACCAAGGCCAAAGTGGACCATCACCATCCCAAAACCACCCTAAGATCAAAAAGGTCATAGAGGTTCACTCAAACACTATTTTATTACCCTTTAAACATCTAAATGCTTTACATTACATGGGTATTCTGGCAGAAACATAGCTGTAATAAAAGAGCTACAGCTAGCTGTTGCTCATTTCTACTGGGAAATACAAAATTCTGTGCAAATAATGATGCATTAAGAAACTGATGGCAGTTATAGATTTCAAGGCATTTGCATAACCTGAAGTGGTTTCTGGAGTGGACAGCCATCTACTTATGCCTTGGCTTCACTCAGACTAGCTGTTAGCTCATCAATCCGCTCATTGAAATAGACATCACCAAGTCAGATGGTGTCCAAACTCCATTTCAAAAGACGTGAATCATCCTCTTAAAGCTCAGGATAGAATCAGGAAGAATCTGAAGTTTATAGAACAGGTTTTACTATTATATTTTATTCGGTTATTAAAACAAAGTACACCTTCTCAGGTGGAATTAGATCAGTTATGTAAATTATCACTTATCAGAGTTATTTCTATAAAGAAACTGTTCCCAGTCTAGGACCCAGATCAAAAACTGGTGATTGCTACCAGCTCTCGGGCA